GCCCTGTACTTGTAGACGGCATGGACGGTCTTTTATATTACATTATCACTCTTTCCATTTTTGTTTTTCACCTTCAGTTAAGGGAAAATCAATTGCGACAACTCAACAAGACAACACAAATTCTTCTAACATAAAGATGAAGTTTCATGAAAACAACGAAAAGAGAAGAGATTAAATTTGCACGTTGCGATAAGTACATGAAAACCTTTGGACTTTTTTAGGATGCATCACTATAGTAAGACAGTCACAGACGTGAAAGTGACTTCCAAGCTAAATTCTATCTAGCTTTTAGCTGCATTTTGTTTTTAATTTGTCTATGTCCTTTGGTTTAACATCCGCTAATTTGCTTAATTATGTGGAAATGAGGCCTACTTTTTAATTAGCATATGTTCTGTACCATTATCTCATGGAAAGGTTCATTAGATGTTCTACTTTATAGCAAACAAGCGAGATCGACGCAAACGGAAATCGGAAGAAATTCGATGAATTTGACGGTTTATATGTAGATGACAACGAATCAACGCTGGAGTTCGCCAGGAAGAGGTTCAGGGTATGCGTAAAAATCATCTAGATCTTTACCCTCATGCACATTATCTAAGGACAAAAAAGTAAATTTTCTTTCCTTTTTTTTTATTCTTTCATATCGTCCCACAAAGCGCACCTGAATTCTAAACCAACTCTACATTACAGAAATTTTTTTTTACGTTTTTGAAGTTATGATGTTGATTAACCTAGACATAATTTTAGAATGGTCAATTTGTGAGACCCTTGCTACTAGGTTTATTCGTACAAAGTTTCGTTCACCTTGATGACTGGGTAAGAATACTTCTGTTTATTATACAACTCTCCTATATTGCCCTGCCTTCAGTTATGGATCTCATACTCGACGCATATTTTTGGAAAATTCGGGATGACTATGGGTACGGCGCAGAGAGCTTCATTGTTTATGTCGTTGCCACAAGCTTTCATAAGTTTAGGCCTCTTAGCGTTAGTTTTGTTTTACAGTTTCTAAAAAATGTTGTCGTTAGGGCTTGGCAAGTGGAAAGAATTCTATTGCAGATGTTTTGAAAACTTTACCAGACGATCTCTTCTTCTATTACCAACCCTATTTAGTGTATTGATAGGGATTTTAGCCATTTTTGCCGTTAATTTTGGAAAAGGTAAGCCATTCAGGCTTGTGGAAAAGATAAAAATCACGAAACTTTTTGCAGTGCTGGCTGGGATGCCAGTGGCACCTACGCTAGCTATACTTGCTGCAATGGATCTCTCCGCTGCTGCAGTAAGCGGTGAAAGCGCTTACGCCATTGTTCCGGAACTGTTCCTTCCAAATGACAAAATTCTTGGCACAGCATTTGTCGGTATAGCTCAGGTTCGTGTAATTCCTTTTTTTGGAGG